CTAGTATGATAAATTCATAATAACTAGTGTTGGGCAACGATATAGTTTTCTGTATCGATATCGTTCAGATTTTTCCGATATTGTATCGCGATATCGTTATTTCTACGATATCGATATCGTATCATAAATATAATTTTATGTTTACCTAAACAATTAAAAAAAAACTTTTCGTATTTAGTAATATTTATTATTTATTATTATACATACTTATAAGTTATTACTTATTACTTAGTTATTTTTACTTATAATAAATTTGTTATACATTTTGTTACAATTGTTTTACACTTTTATATTTTATGTTAACCCTTTTTGACTTCTCCTTAAATGCGTTCAACTTTTGATAGCTGTAACCTAGAAAATAAATTCATAATTATTTTAATATTGTCTTGAATTCAAATTTGAAAAATTAAAATGTATGTTCTTACCAAACTGTGGTTTGACGTCCTAGTGGATTTATAATAACAGTTCAAAAAGAGAAGATTGTTAACTCGATCTGGAGATAGTCTACTTCTTTTCTTTGAAGTTATATTGCCAGCCTCACTAAACAGAAGTTCATATGGGACACTAGTTGCGACTATCGATAAGTATTTTTTTGCCAATTTTGAGACTTCTGGATATAAATTTGAATTTTCTTTCCACGTGCATCAAACGTTATCAGCTAATGGCTATTATTATTTATTAATTTATTATAGCTATATACAAATGTCAAATAGTAAATACCATGTATTTTTCCTGAAAAATATTATTTTCGATATCACGATATATGATACAATACAAAATGATATCGATGTCGGAAATTTGTCACGATATCGATATCATATCGAATTATCGATATCGTTGCCCATCACTAATAATAACTATAATAACCAATAAAAACAGTATTCGTTATTCAGTGGTGAACAATGTTTAAACAGAGGCGTACCGATAGGCGATAATGTATTTAAAATAATATATGTAGGTACCTACCTACCTGTAATATATCTTCCTATTATTTTGAGCGTACCTACGCTCTACAGAAAGTTATATCGTTATGTTATACAGAAACTGGGGAGTATAATATAACCTGAGGAATATAGCATATAATATTGAAATTTGAATAATAAATCTACCTATACATTCACATGCGGTCGTGTGAGTGTTGATGTCGTAATTGGAAATCTGCATACGATTCGTGTTTTTTATTAACATATTTATTGCTTGTAGATATTTTAATCCGTTGACAAACTTTGGACACACTATTAAAATATGATTTCGAGTCCAAGAAGTAAATATTTAAAAGTCTGTATAGTATAAATTGAAAGTCACGTAGGTACTTCGTAATTTAGTAAAGCTACTTTTTCTACAGTGATGTAATTATAATGTAGTTGATGTTTGGAAGGATAGTTCTTTGGCTTCTTGGTGAACAAGATTAAACACGATTATTGAAACGAGGTATAATATTATTACTTTTAAAATATACTGAACCATGAGTAAATGTGATATTAGTTTATTTATACCTAATACTTTACGGTCCACGTATCGTAGAATAATAAATTGCAAAGTCATCTTGAACTTTTGCAACTTTACACTTTTGAGTCGTATTATATCACAGCGACGGCCTTCGTCCATCCCACCCTCACAGAACCGTCATTCGTAGCTAATTTTCTCAGAGAAATTCGTACTGACCATACGATAGGTACTCTCGTTACATTGTTCACGCGGTTTTCGGACAGTTAATATACTCGAGTGGCACTGACTGTATAAACTCACTTAATATAATATTTCCCACTTAAATGGAGCATCATCCGACGGAGTCATCATCAATCCAACGATATAATTATAATAATGATATCACGACGACGATACATAATGTATATATTGTGTTATACTAAATAAACTATAACATTATACATAGGTACGGCGCAGAGTCGATGATGGTATCTCCACGCGACCCCTCGACGACGACGACTATATTATAATATAATATTACGTTGCGGAACAAGGGTCGTCCGGTATACATAATATTGTACATCATATGTATAATACGCACACACATATCGGCCGAGGGTAGATATTATATGATATTAAATATGCTCACAAACACACACACACACACACTACACGTATGTATAATAGACCGTATAATGGTGTACGAGCAGTACTTTTATTTTATTTTTTTTAAACACACACACGCTGCGACACGCCCTCTCTTTGTAACGTAAAAAACCGGAGATCGCGTAACTAATTTATGGTTTCATAAAGATGTTAATATCGTGTACGTATATAACGACACACGTCGACGGCGGTGGGGCGAACGTTTGTGTGTGTACCTATATAATAATATATAGCCATCTGGCCGGACAAAAATCCGACCGTGACAAAACGGCCGCGGCAAGTGCGCCGTCGACCACCGCCGTTTTTGTCCTCCGACGATTGTATTACATAATATTATTATTTATATTGTAGTATATAATATAATATGTATATACGCATGTGGAACGACAAACGGCGAGTCTGTCAATGCTCATTATTATCGTTTGGTAATATATAATATAATAAGTATACGCATATATAGCCATATAATAGGTACGTCATACACTCGATGTATAACAGTTGATAAAAATATCATATTGCATTATGCTGTCGAAAGTCGCATGATAATAATATAGTCTGTACCTATATTATATTTTATACGCACTGCTGCTAGGTCCGTCCCCGCGTCATTATTATGCATCGTGGCGATTATTTCCTAAAATATTCTGTCACGGATCCGTGGATCAGGGATATTTTTATTATTTTTAACACTTCATTTGAATAATATTATGTGTAGTTTCTAATTTCCAAACAATCGATGCGATGTGTAGCGAGTAGCGACTGTTGATTATACCTATAGGTAAGCACTTTTTCTATAAAGACCTTGCAGAGGCAAGCCAAAGAAACGTTGGATGGATATATAGTACGTCAAGATCAAAAGAGACTGTAAGTTAAGAGTTGAGAGGAAATGATCCGTAACAGTGATTATTGGAGGTTGGTGACAGTGGAAGCCAAGTTTTATAGAGTTGTAAGGTTAAATGCCTAAATGATGACATATTATATGCGCATAGTGTGTATTATCTATGGCCGATTCATCATAATGATACGTCGATACGATACGTCGAGTATCGATAAGTCAATGGCTTTTTCGTTAAATTATGTGTACCTATCATCTATGTATAAATTGATAATATTATATATTAAGTATTTATCGTTATCAGTACTTTGTTGAATTGCAGGATGCAGCGAGTATACGTCGCGCAACTGGTAAAGATATTTTGTCACTGTATATTTATTTACATTATTAGGAGATACGATTCCTTAAGAAGACGCTGCACAGACATATTGTATAGGTAGTCTTCGTTTTACAAGTGCGTGACATAGCAAATTTTACGCTCAGCAGATCACATTTAGCTCCGTTAGTTTAAAAATTAGAGAGAATTGACCTCTTATAGAATTTAAAGGTAAGATTATTAATTATTATCTAGGTCATCTCATAGGTATTTTATTATATACTTTAATTTTAAAGTGAGTTTTGAGTATTTGAAAATTGTAAATTGTTTGTACATCTGTCTGAGCCCTGAGGGTGTCCTCTTAAGAAATAACTTTATTTTGCAATATTATTTTGTTCTAAAAATAAAAAATGCACTTATGACTCAAATACACAGAAATTACTTCTTAAGTTGTTAAAATAACTGACCTATATAATACGTGTTATGCATCCATTTGTTTTCAAAACAGTTCAAATATAAACACAATTAACAAACTTAAATTGCACCCTGCAACAAAGCCAGAACATTATGAAATGAAGTCCAATATACATTTAAGGTATATATTTCCTTGCAGTTAATTGAACTAGAAAATTTTTCAAGTATACCTACCTAATAATATTTTGATAGCACATTTATTAAGGTGTATTTTTTGCACATCAATTTCATGGTTACTATTTATATATTTTTTAGCTCCTAATGTATAAGTTTTTTCTCCATAAATGTTCAATAATTTATGTTGGAAAAAAAAATTAGGAAAAAAGGCAACTTGTTCCGCAAAACCAATTAAAAAAAAAAAATCAATTCAATTTTTTTGATGTAACTCATTCTTGCGGCCTGTCCTGCGGGGGGACAAGAGTCGCGGGCGCGTTTCCTCGAGGTCGCGAAGACGACCACGGAAGCGGTCGGAACCGGACCACGACGGCTGCGAGAGCAACGATGACGGTTGGCGACGATTGGCTAGTGCGCGATGACGTGCGCCATAGATATTGTGCTGCAGGACTGTGGAGATGGCGAAGACGGCGACCAAAGCTCGTCGGAGCGAGTGACGAAGACTATTATATTATTATTATATGGTCCCTAGCCACCGTATAATAATAATTAAAGTCGTCCGTCACTCGCCCGACGTGTGCTCTGCGGTATCCGTCGCCACCGTCGCGAGTCGTCTTCGCAGTGCAACGCTGCAGCAGTCATACTGTCAGTGGTACCTTCGGTACAGCTAGCCAGCTCCGTCGTCGTCGCTCTAGGACCGAAGCAGCCGGGGCCCGCTACGCCTCCATGAGGGTCTCCGAACGTCCACGATCCCCTGGCCCTGCCGCCGACGGCCGGAGAACGTGTGTCGGTGACTTACCGCCGATCACCCCAAAAGTGCACTTTCACGTACCTTATTCCTCGACCCCACATCGCTTCGCCTTGACTGCTGCCCTCGACCGAGGTGTCGGGTTCTGTGGACGCTTTTCCATCGTTATTAGCAACCCAGGCAAATTACCGCACGCCCGGCCCGTTTGACTCCTCTCCACGCGGCGGCCGCCAATCGCCTTATCCGCCCGCGTGAAGTCACTGCAGCTTGGGTTGCCGGTTTGACTTAGGTTCGCCGTCCAGTACCTCCGACATGATCCTCGCCTCATCCTCGATCGGAATTTCGTCGTCTACCTCGAAGTCTCCGCTGGTCGCCATGTCCTCCTCCCCGCACCGCAGTACAACCTTTCAGTTTAAAGGATGTGTCTCCGGGCTGTACGTGGACAATGTTTCCGACACAAGGTGGACCATAGCGTCGACCAATTGATCGACGATTGCGACCATCCGTCATCTTTGCAGCCCACGTTATCGGTGTCGGTTTCCAGTTGTAGATGGTGTCCAAATTCCATGGCTACAATGTCCCGGAGAACCGACTGGACGGTCGTCTCGATTTGGCTGGAGCGGAAACCACTGTCTCGATGACGTCTTCTAGCACCTCCTCGACGACGGTGTCGACGTATTCCAATAAGTTTGGCATCATTTTGTAGAGCGTATGTATTGTGCAGTTGTAAGATTTTTTTTTGTTTTTTTTATGCGTTTTTTATACCTTACGCGAGGTATGGAAAAATTATTAAACAATAAGATAATCTATCTATCTATATATATATATATAAAAATGAATGTATGTCAGTGTGTCAGTGTGTCTGTGTGTCTGTGTGTCCATGTTACCATGGTTACCAAGGTTGCCATGGTTACTAAGGTTACCAAGATTTCATATCAATCTATATCTATATATTTAAAAATGAATGTATGTCAGTGTGTGTGTGTGTGTGTGTGTCCATATTACCATGGCAACCATATCTGTATATAAAAAACAGTAAGCTGATTGACTGCTATCAACGCACAGCTCAAACCATTGGACGGATCTGGCTGAAATTTGGCATACAGATAGCTATTATAATATAGACGTGCGCTAAGAAAGGATTTGCCAAAATTCGCATTTTAAATAGGTGCTGAAACAGGGACATTGAGATTCACGATAGAAATTGGAAATTTTATTTTTATTTATTTATAGTTGCCATTGGTTACAGTCTACATTAGAAATAAGCATTTATTTATTGGTTGCCATTGGTTATTCGGGCAGATCAGGTACAAGCTTGCATCAAATCGAATTATTGAACAATGCTTACCAGGGTGGCAGAGTTGCACTTACCGCAGAAAATTACACCCAAAAGGAGTTCAACAATCATAATTTTTTTAAGAGTTGCGATTTTTTACGAGCAACTAAATTTATTATATTAATCCACAGTATTACATCAAAATAAACTTGGTATAACTTTGATACTTTAGAGTTAAATCATACACTTCCGTACAAACAGCACGGGGTCCGCGATCTACCGCAGGTAGATTGCCTACCTGATAATGTACTGCTGCGATTCAGAATTTTTATTCAGGGCAACGGGAAAGATAAGATAAATTTTGAACACCATACACGTTAATGAATTGAACAAAGTTTGAGTAGGTAGTATTGAGTTGATCCATTTAACGGGCGACGAAGTGCACGGGATCAGCTAGTATATAAATAAAATCATAAATTGACTATTGTATATATTATTTATGTGAGAAAATTAGTATAATATTCGAGAAATGGTTGTCGCGAAATATAAACTGATTCAAAATATATAATCGGACGTACCTATGAATAAACATCCAAACGAGAATCTCCATGACAACAAAATAATATAATATTATTCAAAATTGAAAATATATTATACGGCCAATTTATTTCCAAAGATATTATACATATTATTTATGTATATTTCAACATTATTCATGTTAACACGAATACCTACTTGTATTGTAATGTAATAATTGAAATACTATTACAATATAGCTTTATATACAAAGCACCTTTATTGCACGTCACAATAATTTGTTTCTTATCGCAAGAAATAATTTTCATCCAAGTATTTGAGGATTTAAAATAATGTCATTAGCTTACTTTAATATGGAATTCAGACGTATAATTCATTTATTGACACTCGATCGAAACATCGAGTACCAGTCAGCTTGGAACATAGGTAGGTACGCAAGGCAATTTTCAAAATATTTAGATTCATTCTATGCTATTTGCATACCACAAAAATATTCACACCGTATTCACTATAAATTGACTAGGTAGTGTAACGTATGTTACATCATTACGTTTATTTTATAAGCATCATAATATGCACATTAGGCATATTATGCGCTGACTATAATAATATATTAAGCCCCTCCGGTTTAGGTGACACATATATATTTTATGATTGTAAGGCTCTGGCCAATATCCCTATGTAAGAGAATACCAGTTCTCCGCGAGTCCATCACGTGCACCTGAACTCCGTACAATCCTACATTTTTGGTAACTTTGTTCGTATATTGTAAGTTATAATAAATAATTTGTTTGTATTAATAATAATTTAGATCAATCGTTATTTATTTGTAATATTAAGATCCTAATACCATTCGTGCTCCCGAGCTACGGTAAAAATATATTCAAAAGAATTAATTTCTTCCCTGAATATCTTATATTTAACGGGTCATCCCCGACCACGTTACAGTAGGTAATAATAACATCTATATTGTTTAAAATAATATTATGATTTATATCTATCTATATATAAATGAATTGCTGTTCATTAGTCTCTCTAAAACTCGAGAACGGCAGGACCGATTTGGCTAATTTTGATCTTGAATTATTTGTGGAAGTCCAGAGAAGGTTTAAAAGGTGAATAAATATCAATGTTTTATTATTTTTTACATTTTCTATATACATAAAAATGGAGTGTGAAAAATAGTCATTACCTCATCAATCTAGAACGGCTGGTCCAATTTGGCCCAAATTTTTTTTAAGATGTTCGTAATTGGCAGTAGAAGGTTTTCACGAAAGAAAATTTTAGGAAAATCCATCGGAAAAGTAGGAAATCTGGATGTAAAAATACAAAAATGGCGCAACAGTGTATTATATATTGGTTGGTATTGGTTAATCGGGCATGTTTGTTGATTTGTATTATTTTCTTTTGTCAATATACATATTATGTATAATATTCTATACAAGAAGATCTGATAAGTAGTTAGTATATATAGCATATAGCATATAGTATATATAGCCTGTATAGTCTATGCATTTATATATATATAAATTAATGTTTGTGTGTAGATTAGACCTCTGGGAGAAAGACAGACTAATTTAAAAAAGATTAAATTTGGTTTTTTTTATTAATCTGATATTAGTACGGTTAGGTTTAGGTTAGGATTTTGTATTAATTGATAGGGGGCGGACCCAGGGGGGTTTGGGAGGTCAGCTGACCCACAGTTGTTTCCCCAGTTAAATGTGGGCCCTCGAAATGGCAAACTATATGATCATTTCTTTATTTGAAAAAATTATGTACAGTGGTGGATTTAGAAGAGGGGCACGTGCCAGTGTGTCAATTTTCTGTTGACAATTTGTTATGTAACTACGAGTATCATATAAATGACAAACTCAGTTAATAAGAATTTATTTATTATAATAATTATTGATATAGTATGTATGTATTATTAATTAAAATTAAATTTTATTTATTTATTTTTTTTATTGAACAAAATTTTATTTACAATCGGTAATTATAAGATATATTACAATAAGTAAATAGGATGGGGATGATTAACGGGAGGGAGTAAGTCACCATTGGTGATACCTCATTTTAAAAAATTAAAATTATACAATTTATATGTGTCCCCTCCCCTATCAAAATATCGAAGATCTGCTATTATGATGCAGGGGTATATATACAGCCGTGAAGACTTAGTATTGAAGTAAAATTATGCGTACGAAATCGTGCTTAAACTTATCAACTTATAATGTACCAAAATTTGAAAAACACAAGTATAAAAATATGTTAGATATATTATATAAGATTTTATGAAGTTGACATAGATGAAATTTGTATAGAAATGGAATACCGTTCATTATATCTAGTTTACCAACAAATGACAAAACTATTGAAACTGGAGTAACTGGAACTTTAAAACTAAATTAAGTATTGAAGTTCATGATATCACGAGACATGGTTTCTTCGTATCCAAATGTATATACTTTGTATAAAATTTGTTATACACTTCCAGTCAGCAGTGCAACTGCAGAAAAAAGTTTTAGCCGTCTAAAACTTCTCAAAACATGCCTTCGCTCAACTATGACTGAAGACCGGCTATCAAATTGGGCCATATTGAGCATAGAAAGCAACATAGCTCAAACCATTGATTTTGATAACGTAATAAGTACATAATTTTCACTAATGAAAAAGCTCAGAAAATTACTGTAGTCTGTAATGTTCTACTTATTTACTATTATTTTCATGTAGGTATTATAAAATATGCATTTTATAAATGTATTATTTTTGACTTTAGTATTGTATTAGAATTTATAACCACCTTCTATATCTCTTGTGAAAATGAAATCAGTCATTGAAAACTAAAAGAAAATAAATATACTGCAAATATAGGTATAAAAATAAAACAATAAATATGTATAATCCCTCTAATGATTTAAATATGTAGGGTAAATTTTTTAATTGAATATAAATTTGAATGCAACAAATAAAAATAACAATTAATTAAATACAGCTTAAATATGTTATGACTCATGTAATATACGAGTAGTTATATTGAATGTTGGTATCAAAATGTGATGTAAATAACTAATAAGGTAAATCGCGAGCGCATGGGCGACTTTGTAATACCTAGTTGGTTGAAGTTTCTACACAGTGGCCTCTCGTAAGTAAGGCAGACCCACAGTTCTAAAATCCTGGGTACGCCACTGTCAGAGTACCTGATTGCTGCCGGTAAAATACAAGAACTTTTTTTTTTTTTGGTTATTTATTAAGTATACATTTTAAAAGATTTTTCTTAACTATTATAGCATAAAAATAAAAATAATTTTATTCCAATATAATATGCTGATTGCTGGTGTGCTCTCTAGTTTAGTTTTGAAATTCGCTCGGCAATCCTGTGGCAAGCAATAACAGCTGTCACCAGCACTTATGATAGAAAAAAATTACCATTTACGAAATGTTTATTTATCCTATATCTAGATCGCTATTTATGTGAATTTTCAAGTCCAGATAGCAAGATTTCAAGACGCTCCCTCTCTTATAAAATCTAAGTAACATAACCAGAGCTTAAAACACGATTTTTCATTCTTCCCCTAGTTAAAACTATAATTTTTGAATTTTGACTTAACGATGCCATAAACTTTCTAGCTTATCCTACTGTGTAAGGTTTATTACAACCTTCTTCGCTATCCTTAAATTATAATCCGTGTGTAACATTGCAATGCGATGTTAATTAAAAATTCATACGTTGTTTCATAAAAAAAAAACAAATTAATGTCTACGTGGAATGTGTTGCTGATAATTTTTCACGCTTTGCATCCTAGCCATATTGATGTGAAACATTATGTAGTTGAAAATATATGAACATGTTGGTACTGTAATAATATTATCAAAAAAGTATATTATCCAATATCGTATAATTATAATTTTTAACACATCAAAAATTCACAAATAAAACATAGTAAGACTGTTACAGATTAGCATCAATTGTCATTCATATTCTCTGATTGTGTATTTATAGATATATCATATCCTATGCCTGAAGAGGTTTTTACATTTTTTACTATACATTTCTTTATATTCAATATTGTACACTGTTTTCTTCTGTGATTAGTTAATTATTCAGTTAGATACATATTAATATATTTTTTAAGCCAATAACTTTTCTTGTTAAGTATTTGAGTAAATTTGCTTCATTACTTTCTGAATAAATGTATTTGTATATTATTATGTAATTAAAAATTAAAAATAAATGTAAAATAACTTAAATTTATTATACAAATATTGGCAATGTTACTTAGAAGTTTTTTTTAATTTTCTCAATTTTGAGAAATGCATCACGTCGTTGGCAGCATTGGCTGTTATTTATTACATTTAACTTCTCGCTTATTACCATGATCTGTGAGTGTTTCATAACAATTAACTTTATGTCAATATACATTATACACATTGTAGTTTAATTTTTAAACTCTGCAACTTTGAGAATACAACTGCAATGAATAGATATAAAACTTGTATTATATTATATATTGTTGTGTCGTAATATGTCTACCTCAAACAGTCAAATCGCTCAGCTCATTGCGATTTTACATCACTCATTTTGGTAGCGTAACTGTAAATCTATAATATGTCACATAATTTTTCAATAATTAAAACATTAGGTAACGCTAACCAAATTAATCGTAACGCTGACCAAATTATAGTCCATTAAATAACAAGATACATGACGCCAATTGGCGTCATTTAGCACATGCGAACTATGTACAATGACGCCAATTGGCGTCTTACGCAGCAAAAGTGCTACCGTAAATTGAACTAAAACTATTTAAATAGTTTTTGTGATTTTTAAACAATTCGAAAATCTCATGTTATTTTAAAAGTGGAATAGCTGTTCACATAAATTATTTAACAATCATTTGTACCTACTTCTTAAGGTTTAGACGGGGAGTAAGTAAATCTATTATACACTAACATAATATTTGCTGGATGCGTTTACACTTAACTGTGTACGAGGACAAACACTATGGGTCGCATTGTGTACCTTTTATAATACTAAAATTGCTAGGTAAGCAAAATCTGGTGATGTATCAAATTTTGAATATTATTTTTATTTTAATAATATCTTTCGACTTATGGAAAAATATAATATAATAGTAATATACTAATATATAATGCTGACTGTATCGATTATCACGTGGGTGTAATTGTGACATTATATAATATACTATATAGGGATGAATTCAAGTTTATTTATCTGTGTTTTATTTTACGTGGTATATACTTAAAGGAACAATGAGTGGGAAAATAAAAAACTGGTAGGGCGTGTGCCTCTTTTGAATCCGAAGAAACGCGAAAGTTTTTAATTTCATTTTGGCTGGCGCTACAGGGCTATAGTATTGCATTATTTTTATTATATATTGTATATTGTCGGTGGGGGTAGCGGCGGCGAGCAGAGTGGAAATAAAACCACCAGAAATAGCGAGTTCAATCGTCTTCTCGAAGTATTTTCTCCTCCCTCACTTCCACCTCACATCCCCTACAAACTCCACCATCACTATAACTTTCCGTTATTTTCGTTCGTCGTGTATTTCGCCAGTTGATTAAATTTGTGTTTATTCCCTTCGTGGTCGCTATATTGTGTTAGGTTGGAGAGAGTGGCGGAGATAAAAGAAGGAAAATACCAAAAATTAGATCCCCTTGAAATAAATCCAGTTAAGATGTAAGTCCCCTTCCAGTGGGTATTAACACCCTGCGAAACAACTATGAATGAAAAATAAAAACTCCGATCGTTTGCAGTCAATGAAAAATGTATCAAATCGCGATAAAACTATTCGTAGGTAGATGTGGAAGTCGGGAAAAGCTCTCTATAATCTAAATACATAAATGCGGTGTTTCAGCGGTTATATTATAATATTTTTTATATATTTATTAAATTGTGTTTGAAGCTGAAACGAATGAATTAAAATAATCACAATAATGTATATGTTACCGTCAATGTCGTAAATTCAGGTAATGATGATATTGACTAGCCAATTAATATAATGCCTGGGTAACTTGGTCATTATCTATAATCAACATATATTTGTAACATTGACTTGATAAATCAGACGATGTTATAATTTGATAAATTCACTAGTTATTATAACATATCCTATCGTCATGTAGTCAATGTTATCTTTTATCGTTTTAACTTTAAAAACCCAAGTTAAGATTAGGTATCTGTTTTATAACGAATAATAATAGGTATCTTTTATAGTTTTAATACTCACGGCAAAAACATTTTTAACTAATTAATTAATTAAATATTTTATATTATTATTATCGTTTTCGCATTTTTTTTAAACTTAACCACATTTATTATTTAAATAGGAATTGGCAGATCACCGTATGAGGCGATGTTTGGGTGTCCTGTAAGACTTGGTGTAGCGTCAGTTGGATTTCCACTCGATGAAACCACTAATTTAAACCAAGAAGAAGATATTGAAGAAATTGATAATGATATTAATATTAGACAAGAAGACGATATTGAAAATAATCTTGATGGAGTTCAACTAACCAACAATGAGCATTTAAGTGAGTCAATCTGTGATTCAAATTAATTAATTATTCCAAAAAATAAATACAATGATTGATAATTTATTTTTATATTTTAGTCAATATCAGACAGACAATTCAATATTGAATGAAAGAAAATTATCTGCAAAATGCTTGGAAAATCAGGCCAAAAAAATGATTAAAAAATCTAATAAAAAATTTGAAGATCTTGAAGTAGGGGTAAATGTTCGAGTTTCAATTCCCGATGTTGATCGAGCTAGAGGTTCACCACGAAATGTGTTGGCTGTCATCATTAGTATCGAAGATAACATGTATAAATTAGGTATGCAAATTTCAAATTAAATTTAAATTTAAAATAATAAAAATATATTTTAGGAACAGAAAACGGTATTCTCAAACATTTATACACAAGAACGGAAATTTTTCCTTGCAAAGAAAAATTTATTCTTCTCGAAAACGTCTTAAAATTATCTGCCGAAAAAGAAATTACACTCCGTGAAGCGGCTGGAGTCAACAGTGTTATGGGAACTCAAGGATTTCAACGGTGCCACTGAAAAACAAAATGCAAAACAAATAAATGTACTTGTAGATCTAATAACCGGCTTTGTACATCGAAGTGCCATAACAGCTTATCATGCGAGAATAAGTGATACCCATACGTCATAATCAATAATCAACATACAAGTATTAAAATAATAATTATTATGAAAAAATTAATTTTTTCTTATATTTTTTTTTTCATTGTTTATTTTTAAATAGTAAATATAATATATTATATCTAAAATTATCAATGGCTACATAGTTTTAGTCAATAATGACAATGACTGGTCAATCATAGAAATTATGTATTAATATTAAATTTGTTCTATTATTGTCTATCTTAGTTAGGTATTCTCTAAAATGACTAGCCAATAATATCAATGCCTATGTAAAACAGTCAGTGTTAACATAGACTAGTCATTTTTAACAATACCTAATTATCATCATTGGCAGTAACATATATACATAGATATTGTATAGTAGGTACCTACGTATATATAGGGCAAGAGATTTTTATAAATTTTGTTTTTTTTTTGTGTTTGTCGTAACCTTTTGTAGCTGTAAAAATCATCGATTTTCAACATTGAGTGTGGTACTGTGGTTTCTGGTAGCAAATTGAATCTAGTTGGTACTTTCGAGAGTCAAAACTAATATACTTTTAAAAATCCATAGGAAAACCAAAAAATAAGGAAAAAACTGGAATATTTAAGTAAATCAGTTTTAGACAAAGTTTCTTTCTTTAAAATAAGTAGGTGTAGGGACTAAAATCTTCACTGAACATGTAATAAAAATGAAATAATTTCTAAAATTTTTTTAGGTTTTAATTCATTTTATGTATCATATCATTTTTTTTATTGGTTAAAAATCATGCAAATTTAATGGAAGGTGAGGAATAAGTTTTTCTTATACCAATTAAAAAAAACTTGATACTTCCTCCACGTATAGCGTTTGTATTTATGGAAGACAAGTGTCATTGTAAACTGTACCTAATAGTGTATTAAAATAAAAAATGTTAAAATAAATTTAAACTTATTAAACATAATTGTAAAAAAACATTTTGAAAAAAGTTACCTGTTTTTATAATGTAAATAGGTAGGTAGTAATCGTTCATAGATACCTACTTTAAGGTCACATATAAATAGAAGTAGTTTTTAAAGTTTATGAGACATTACCTATAGTAAGTAGTAAACTATATGTAATTATACATATTTTATATATTTTTAAAGTTTTGGTTAAAGTAATACTCATTTTTTTTGTTGGGGGGAAGAGGCACCAGTGCACCACCCAACCTAAATACGGCCCTGGGTAGAAGCGTGTATACTTGCTTGGTTAAGTTTATATAGGTAAATTGTTGTACTATTATGATTTAATATTCTTCGATTTCTTTCGTGACGTATGTGTACCGTATTACAGTAAAGAAAAGAAAACGTTTTTAACGACAATAACAGCGACAACATTTCTATGACAGTTGTAGGCACTTACCTAATACATGATATTTAATATTATTATAGTGAATACAAATATAAAATACTCGATGTTTCGATTCAGAACAAGAACGAGTGGTACGTAATAATGTTTTGTATAGTGTACAGTTATTGTAGGGCTTACTGAGAAGCGGTACCTATGTGGTTTTTATTTTCTTAAAGAAAACACTATTTTTCCCATACGAATTCACTACATCCAACAATTATGTACCTTCAAAAGTAATACTCGATAGTCGATCGTATAATATATAATACATTATCTATATTTTGATGGTATATAATATTACATAATATATATAGATACATATACACTTAATGTATTTGAATATTTCTAGATTGTGAAATGGTCGATTTACGAAAATTATCAAAACCCAAAACGTCTTAAAAGTTTAAAGCCATAGGTACGTCATTATAATATTATAATGTGTAGATAACCTTGCACGTTGCAAAAACAACTTCGGTCGGAATCGGTTTTAGAATTTTATAATAATAGGTTACACTACTTACACGTACGAGAATGCACGCCTCTAATACACACCCACTACAGCAGTAGCCCACCTATATAATACAGTGGCCCACCCAAAACAGTGGCCTACCCACGCGCCGAAGAGCGCCTCCGCTAATTAATTATTACATTATACAGTTAACCTTTGCAGATAATCATGTATCAGTGACAGCAATAAATCGATAATGTGAGCATAGAGAGACGAGAGTGTGTCCATAATTAAATCGACAACCACGGAGCTGCATATTACCTATATAGTCCGAAAATGCAATATAATACTAGGTAAGTATATTTACATGTTATAATATGAAATAGCTGTGTGATTTTTAACCAGTATATTGGAGTAATAAGAGAATGATCAATGCATGATATCAGCCAAAAAAAAAATGTTTTATGTTACTCCTGTAGATTTATAAATATGTAATATATGTATTGTTTTCAAAAAAAAAAACCATTTTCATGGTAGTTTTTTAAGTATAACGGAAATTTAATGGAAATTGAAAGATTTTTATAATATCAAATTTTTGTTAACATTGATTTCATAATCTTTCAAAATTAAATGACATTTCAAAAATCATATTACCTATCATTAATATACCTAATACAAGAAATATTAAATTATGTAAGTACCTATTATAGGGAAACAATATTATAAAAGAACTGTAAGTATCCTAAATATCGTTTGGATATTATTTTAACACTTAGGTAAACATGATAATTAAAGTATCCAATTTAACAAACATCGTGGTTTGTTAGTATACCTATCACAACTACTATATTATTAAATATTTATAAAACATTTACAATTTTAAAATTCTCACAACTTGCTTTAAAATTAAAATATCAACAAAATAACCTTTCGAGGTGCCTTACATAATATTTTAGTTAGATAATGGGTCAATATTATATTCACTAGAATATTAAAAATAACAGAGGAAACTGATTCTTCTTAAGTAAGATATATCTCTATAGAGACAACACCTGAGGGGGAAAAATCCTCTTAACAACAATGTATATAATATATCAGAGGTATTCAAAATGCAGATCGCGATTACCAAGGGCGTCGCGAGAGTTGTCAAAGAGAGCCGCGTTTTGGCACTGGAAACCGAAATTAATGTAGGTCAAGTTTAATTAATATAACTATTATTTATAATCATTAAAGTAATTATGGAAACGATAATGAAACAGATTTCACGACCATTTGATCTTTTATTTCTAGTATACTAAAATCACTGTTATTATCATCCATATTAGCTAACATATTGTATCCGTATTGTTTCAATTTTTTCATAATTATTTGGGAGCCGTGAAATATTGTGAACACACAAATAAGGAGACGCGAGATGAAAAAGTTTAAATACCTCTGATATATAATATATATTACATATGTATATTGTATATAATATATACCAACGAGAAGCAGACGTCTGAAGTTGTACATAATACGGTTATATAATATTATTTTAATACTCTGAACCCTTCGCCGTCTGCACCGATCGCCGTTTCTCGGAAACTGCGAGTTGCATAGTATAATATTTTAACACCAAACATATAGTGTACAGGACCCGCGTGGTAGGTAGTATATAATAATGTACATTATGAATCTATACATATACCTATAATACAGACCATGTTGTAGACGTGATCAAAGGGTGAACGCACCCGAGAAAGGGGAGCGAAAGTTCAAACGCGATCACGGGGACGCCACTGCCCGTGACGGGCCTTTGTCAGAGGATTAACGTCGACTAGGAGTTACGTCGTCGTCCTTGTTGCACTAGTCGCAGTGTCGTTGTCGTCGTCGGAGTGTTCTTCTGCAGCAGTCATACACCGCAAGTATGAGTTATGTATAACGCACAGGACCATTCCGATGACAGGGGTGCAAACCTGGCCTTCGCCCTGGGCCCCTGAACGGTCCCCGCACTTTTTGACATATTATTACCTATACATATTAATGCGCAATGGACACAACACAATATGCATTTGTATAGTTATATTTTAAACTTATTACGATTATTCTAAATTTGAAAAATTACAACCATTCAATCATTTGGCGTTCAAATTATATTATTTTGGTTATCGTTTATTGGCAATAATAGTTACTAAGAGGACTTCATAAATTACGACTGTTGCGATATATTTAAAACTTATGGTGTTCACAAAATGTAAACATTTATTATTGGAGAGTTTATACTTGATGATTTATATTTAGGTGCATTCTGTTATGTTTTCCTAGTCATAATAATAGTTCTAAAAAAAAGTTCACCCAAATATTTCAGAGTAGTGGGGTTTGATTACCTTGCTCTCTACATGGATAGGCAGTATGTACTTCTCTGCATATAGAATGTGTCAGTGGATTTTCCATATACTGTTGTAGCCCTTACGCAGTTACGCGTAAACACCGCGGGCCGTTCTTGAATACAATAATTATATCGTTACTGCTACAGCCGCACACACGCGTATAACTTATTGATGTCACAAACAGCAACTTCACCTATGTGTGGAGTAATTAATTGTAAAACGCATAACGTTTATTAATTCGACTATACCATATTATATATTACACTCCACAACGTATTATTATATAACAACCGCAAAGTCTGAAAAGTCTGAAAACGCAGTCACCGGAAAATAACTCAAAAGGTGTTTAGAAGAACGATGATTGGGCAAATGTTATGTTTTTTTTAAAAGATTAAATCGTATAAATGCAACCAGTTGACATCCCTCAGAAAAAAATTGATTTCTAGTATTATTATTAATTACTAAACATAAATGACAATTAAATACCTATGATACTGTATGTCTGTATCACTATTAATTATTATAGTGGTTGACTTGGAAAAAAATAGTAGAGGTCAGGTGGAACAATAATAAATTGCGTCCTCATTAATATTACATACGTAATATAACCGCGGGTGGCTTCACTACCCATTTTTTTTATTACACCCTCTAAAGTATTTCTATAAACTGACAAACATTTCATAGCTTATTGTTAGTTGTTATACTTACCTAACTTACTTTCTTAATAAGTATGAACCATAAGCGTGATGCGTAGCTAGTAGGCTTTTGCAGGCAATTTAGGTACCTATAATACTGATATTTTTTTTTTAATGGATCAATAAAT